ATATTATCTCTGGGAAAACAGGCACAGTGAGAGAAAGTGATTTGCCCAAGGCCCACCAGTAGCAGTGTCAGGACTAGAACTAAGGTCTCCTGCGTACTACTCTAGTGATCTACCCACTAGGTTTTGCCTAAGCCTCGCAATTCTGCTGTCTTCATTGAGAGCGGGAGGGAATCTTCAGTACATATTATAGTCTCATAAAGGAGATTTGGGTGCAAAATAAAGTATTTGTTTATACACCTCAAAAATAAAAAACAGCTGTTTGTTTTCAAAGCTTACAATGACACCCTAAAGATACAAGGTAATATTTACCCCTGTGCAGGGAACCAGCAGTAAGCCAATGCCTCACTAAAATCCCACCTGAGCCCTGCCTAGCTACATAGAGTGGGCATCCATCCAACCTGAGAATAAATGGTGCCCTTCTGATCCTGTTCCCACAATAAATCGTTGAAAACAGTCACTTTTCAACAGACTGCAGTACAGGACATCTTTTAAGGATTAAGGTGAGACAGCCTCTTTTATTAAAAGGTCCCGCATAGATGGTCCTCTCCAGATGACAATCGTGTAGGAGTTTTAGTCTATAGGGCAGAATCTTCACAAAGTATACGCCCTTTTTAAAAATAGTCTGTTCCCTAAAAAGCATGTTTTTCAAGTTAGAGCTCAACAGCCCAGTATCTGAAATGCCATTCCTAAGTGTTCTCTCTTTTGGGGAAACAATGGCAGCCAGAGAACTAGTTATAAACACAACTGGATTAAGAAGTCTAGAGCCCTAGGCTCAACTCACAGTAAAATTAATGCCACAACCATGGCTCTTGTATTAGCACACATCCACCCATCCCACATTCATCACAATGTGAAAATCCTTTGGGAATCCCATCATATTCGAGGGAACAAGAGTCTTCCAATATGTGAAGACCTAAATAATATCAAGATTCTGACACAAATCCCGAAAACCTTTAGCTTTCAGTTCAAGAGCTTGAAGACTCAGGGTTTTGTCCTGAAGATCAATGGTGAGCAAGATGGATGGATGGCACTATCCCAAACAAACACCTGATTAAGGACCCAACCAAAGAACCCATTGGTTTTTCACTCCCATAGAAAATATGGTCCACTTTGAACCACCACTCCACATCACAAGGCAGATGCATCTACCTCCTTCATAAATGGGGACTGAGACACAATCCTATTTGTGACTTCAAACCTTGGAACACCTCACCAACCAATGTCTCACACAATCATATCCTGGTGGTATCTCTTCCATCCAATGTGCATCACCCGAGGCAATCAATTGAGTCACTAGTCTAGACTTGGACATCCAACATTGATGTTTTTATGCCATGCAAAAGAAGATGACCAGGCTCCATCAGCTGCTGCTCTTTCTAGAGAATCACAATCCCCTCTCCCCCCATCCAGGTCTCTTATCCCAGGCTTTCCACAGTGGCAGCGTAGCACAGTCCCAGTAAGGTCCCTTCCCAACCCTGGTCTCTCTGTGTTAAGCACAGGCTACTTCTTATATGGCTCCCCCACAGGCAGTCATGTGATCCCTGAGACACGACTCTTCCTGAGGAACTACAATTCCCAGAATTCCTTTTCCTTAGCGAGTGATTCCTCAGTATCAGGCCATCTGAGGACACCTTCTCTTAAAGGGGTTGGCTTCCCTAGAAGAACTATGATGAGATGAAACTAAGCCACACTAGTACTTGCACCCCCATAGAGTTCTCTGCTGGAATGATAGTGGTGAAGGCTTTCCCCAAGCCTCAGATTGCTGAATTAAGTTGGATGGGACAAGTCACAACTTTTGGCGCTTTTGTTTCAGGCTGTCTGCTACTGACACTGGCTGCTGAAAAGTTAATGCAGTTCCAGGCTGCATTAACTCACTTTTGTATTTTCCACATGGCTTTGAGGGGCTGATGCTGTAGGTATCTATTAGCCAACCCCCCTCCCTCCTTTGTTATCCAAAAATGACTAAATTTGTAACAAATATTACTTGAATTGAATAGATTAACTAACTCTGTTCCAGGCATTCTTTCCCTACCCATTACACATCGATAGCCTATATTCCAAACAACATTTAAAATAAAGCTCTGGAATTGCGGGAGTTGTACAAAAGCCCAGGATCATCATCTCACATGAGATGGGCACTAACAAGGAACAATTCTAACAGTAAGGAGCTGCGTATCAGCAGCCTTATCTTTGAACTTACATGCTTTCCTCAGAACTCTCAACTTCATTTTAGTATAGGGTTGTTGTTTTTTTTGTTTTGTGGTTTAACAGTTAAAATGAGAATTGGGAGGGGGTTGCACCATTTCAGCTGCAAGTAAAAACATTAAATTATTCTGTTATTCTGAGGCTCACTGATAATAGGGAGATGACAACTGAAGCATGTGGATAGTATTGCTCTCATTCTATTAGTAACAGATGGATTTTATTTCCAATTTAGCAAAGTCCTGGGCATACTTGTTTTGAAAAAATAGTTATGGGTAGCTGTTTAAGAACGACATATCAAAACAACACTTCTCTGCAGTATTCCTTTAGGTTGGACAGCTGATACCTTCTCTTTTTCACTTTTGTAAGAAAATAACTTATAGACAACAATTCTGTTTATATTTAAAAATACTAACTAAAATTTATTTGATCACATTTTTGGTGATTAAACACATTAGTACTACAAAAAATCTTTCTGTAAAAATTTATTATATCTGGCAAACATTTTTTTTAAAGTTGCCAATGCCAACTGAAATGAATTTCCCCCCCAAAAGGATTGTATATCAAACAGCAACCATTCATGTTATTATGTTTGTTTTACACTGACATTTATTTTTTTTTTTCTTAAAAACATTTTATTGTAATGCATATTATTTCATAATATAGAATTTTTATAGCAGCTATAAACAGCAGAAACACACTACACAAAAGGACAATTGCAGTGAGAACAGTGGTATATATGTTTATATTATGGTCCCAATTTTCAAAAGTATCCTCTATTGATGTCTCAAATGTGGGTGTGCAACTTTAGACATGAAAATGCTTATGTCAGAGGACATGTTTTGCTATTTTCATTTGTGTAAAAAAAAAATAACAACCTACCCGTGAGGATTCTTGTGGTTAGGGCACTTGTCCAATGGCTCTGGCTGCAACAGTGGGGTGGAACTAACACAATCATTGTATGTTTCACTCTGCTACTCCTGTCAGAAAAATGTTATATGGAGGAACAACAGAGGCACTGCGTTTGTAATTTAGTATCATATGTGAAGGTGAGAGACACTCTTCCACTCCCTTACATCCATTACTATCTCAGTTTTATGAAACAACCCTAATTTTGTCAAAAAAAAAAAGGGTAACAGCAAAGAATCATTCTTGTCTGGTGCTTCAGCACAGGATATTTCCCCAGCCCAAGCAGCAGAATGAAACTGATTAGATCCTGCATTCTTCCTGAACCTTAAACTCCCACTGATTTCACAGGATGGGGCCCTAATTTCATGTTAGCTTCAAGCTACTGATATCTCTCAAGGAGGCATTTTATGCATGAACATTTTATGTACATATTACTGTCATGCAGAATTTGGATCATTCATATTTATATTGAAATATCTTCACCCCCCTCCAAAAATAATTATGTTTAAATTGGAAGATCAACCTACCCCAAAACTTTCAACATCAAGCTGAAAATATTGCACGGTAGGGCATTGTGCCTTGCATGCTTTGAAGACATGAAGGTGCTGCCTATCTGCTAGGTGTATCACTATTTAAAGTGATCACTGACTGCTATGAATAATTGTTTTACGGGGAACTGGGTGCTTCAGATGACTGGAGTCCATAGAATAAACTGGAGAGCCTTTACCATATGAGAGTTTACACAAAATGAGTTGTAGTTCATTTAAATCTAACTGGCAAGGTGGCATCCCAGAGCACAACCTCTCATGGACCAATGTGATCCTGCAGGCACCTGTCCTCTTTTCCCTCCTGGTTCTCCGAGTAACTTATTCATAGTCCTGAGTACTTCAAGTGACCCCTTTTGGGGTTATGATGTCTTTACAAAAATCAGTTTCCTTTGGCCCTTTCAGGCCCAACCCTTCCCTCTTGTTGTTCCATATCACCCTTATTCCAAGGCTTCAAGTTCCCAGTTCTGATGCAGTTCATCCTGAGTCAGGGAGCTCTGCCAGTCTCACTGCAGCCTCTGGCCTCTCTAGAGCATCTTTTCCACAGATCTCCTCCTGCCCTGGTCTCTGTTGGTCCTTCCCATTGGTTCAGGGGCCCCGCAGCTCTTCTTCTTGGGGCTGTCCTGTGATTCAAGATGACTTCCCCAGGTCACCAGTCTCTCTTCTGGTTCCCATCCCAGGGAACTTTCTCTCCTGACTCGATATGCCCTGCAATTCTCTTCTCCAGGCTGTCTGCACTGTCTCCCCTTCTGAGAGTCACTTAGCAGCTGGGTTTTATCATATTCAGGAGATGGCTACCTGATTAAGACCTGGTCCCCATCCCCCATCTTGTCTGCTGCTCCCTTGAACACCTGTTTCCTTAAAGGGGACACGTCATGGAACTGGGGTTGGCTGTCCTTCTCCCCCCACTACTCCTTAAAGGGGACACACCACCATCCTGTTATGCAAATCTATCTGTTTCTTGCATAGTGCCCATCATCATGGAATTTGAACTCCCCCAAGGTCAGCTGTCTGTATTAAAACCCATCTCACAACTGTCACCTCTATTAACAGTCTCAAAAGAAAAGATATAAATTTGATGGCTATAGAAATTTAATTACATTTTCTAATTCCTAGGGGAGTCCCTCTAAGACAGTGTTGACTTACATTGGGTGTATCAGTTATATGGTAGTTGTAAAAACTTGTAAGACTCCTACTCTTGATGTATTTGCTGTCTACACAGAACACTTTAGTCTGCAGAGCTATCTAACCTATACCTTTCATGAACATGAAATAATCTGTACAGGACAGTCGGAGGTGTTGTAATGGAACTTCAGCAAAAGAAAAAGAATTACTCATATTTAATAAGAGGCAGAATCTATGTTTATATCATTTTACTTGGCTGAAAAATAAACACAGATGTCACAGTTGCAGATATGTTGTTTGTAATACATTATTTTACCACTTTCTGCGATGTCGCAGCTAAGAGAACCATTAAATATCTCTCTCAGTGCGTTGTAGTGCTGGTCAAAAACATTCCACTGACGTTTTGTTTTTAACAGAAAATAGCTTTTTGACAAAATGAAATTTTTGCGAAAAATGTTTTTGTTGAAAATTTCTAGGGTTTTGTAGAAAAAATAAAAAATTCAGTGTTCAGTGGCTGAGAAATGAAAAACCCCCACAATGTTTGGGTTTTGACATAAAACCTAAAAAGTTTCAAAGAATTTTGTTGACAAAAACAAAACAATTAATTTCAATTGACATTTTTTGCAGGAACAAAATAGTTTCCCAGCCCATTCTAGTGTTTCGTAAGTTTGCTCATCACCATAATATTGGAACACCTTCTAGTTAATAGATTAGCCTATCAAGGTCCCTAGTGAATGTAAAAAATTCTTTGGCTTTTCTCCTTTTACTGATTGTAAAAAACTGCTCATGGGGTAAGGGTTTTTTTGGGTGTATTGAACTTGGGTAATTGCTCTAAGAGTCATTCTGAATTATTCTAATTATTGTGGAAAAGTTTAACCAAAAAGGAAGGTCTAGCAGTATGACTGGTCAGGATTTTTGGCTCCTTCAGATGAGTGATATTCATGTGCTTTTTCTATGTGCCTGGTCAGGTTGGGGTTATCTTGGTGGATTGAGGAAAAATCTTGGGAGCTTCGGAGATATTGTCATCACAGCCATATTCTGTCGACTGCAGAACAAAAGTCTCATACTTACCTCTCTAAACATTCTTGCTTTTAATCAAACAAAGCAAGTAGATACTGCAAAAGCTCTCTATTTGCAATATGTAGGGACTATAAGTACATATGACTTTGTTATCTTACATGGAATTGTAAAGATATACAACTAGCAGCTAGCCTTTGCTCTCTTTAATATCAGCATGAGTCATAAAACTAGTCCATTCTTCACCTCTTTTACTTGCAGCATGACTGTTACTCATGTGCCAGTTCAGCTTCTTTACAGTCTATTTAATATGTATTTGGCTGGGTTTGCTTCCATGCATCTCAATATGATAGCAAGCTTGGGCTTTTTCTTTTATACATTCCTGTGTAATTTTTAGCATCCCCTCCATCTCTTTAGGTCATGGGGTGGCAATGTATTGGTGTTAAAAACACTTTTAAGCAAAGAAGCAGCTTGCTTTTCATGTTACTGTTTTGCCTTCCAAAGGCTGTCCATTAAGCTTGATTCTTTGGAATATTATATGCCCTTTGTCCAAGCTATGACAGGAATACATCACAGTTCACAGCCTTTAATTCTTTCTCTTCATTGTGATTTTTTCTCCCTTCTTTCATGTTTGCAATGAACTTGGCTTGGTTTTCTGTGTTTATCCTGACTCCACATACTTCTCCTTAATCCTTTGGGGTTTTACATAAGTAACTTAGCAAAGACAATGTGAACTGTGCTGGTACAGCCACAGACTTACTATATACACCTCTACCCCGATATAACACGAATTCAGATATAACGCGGTAAAGGAGTGCTCCGGGGGGGATGAAGGGGGGGGGGGCGCACTCCGGCAGATCAAAGCAAGTTCAATATAACATGGTTTCACCTATAATGCGGTAAGGTTTTTTGGCTCCCTAGGACAGCGTTATATCGGGGTAGAGGTGTATATATATATATACACACACACATACATATATATATATATGGAACAATGAATAAACAGTCTCTTTTACAGTTCATACACGGATTCACTTTCAACCAGCACTTCTCAACTGCATTTAAATCTGCTGGTTGAAATCTATTCCAGAATAATATGATATCATCTCAAGTGTCCACAGGACTCAGTCAGTTGATGACAAGTGATGCAGACACTTCACTCCTCCCAAAGCACTTTCCAGCAGAACTTCCCTACACACAGACACCCCTTACAATCTGCCCCCATGGGCCAAATTCATCCCCACTGCAAATCCACTGAAGTCAATGGAATTACCCAGAGATGAATCTGACTTAAAATATAAAAGATTTTAAAAGCAGAAGAAGAATTTTGAAACTTCCCTGCCCCCAAAAAGTAATCGGACAGTGAATACACAAAAGGGATTTCTCAGAGGAAATTGAAGTGAGGGACTTGATGCTGTGGGAGCTCTGGCTTCCCCATGGATCCTGTTTGGTAGATGCTACTCCCCTCATCTCAGATCTTTTAAACAAATACAATTCTGGTTTCCTTTCTCTCACCTCAGTTTTTGTTTTTTTGAATTTCCAACTTGAGATCAGGCTGAACCTCTTTGCTACAAGGAAATATGCTCCCTGGGCTAATTTCAATCAAGTACTGCATAGGCAGGGCTTTTGTAAGCAGAAAGTCTACCCAAAGGTGTAATGGCTCAACTCAGCTAGTTGCTAACAGACAGCACGCAGAAACCTCAAAGTAATCAGCACTAGCTCTAGAGAATGGTATGCTTACGGTAGATGGAAATTCTGCTGATTTATTGCACCCCCTTAGGCAGCCTTTGCCAGCAGTCCTTCTGTGGAGCCCCTGATGAATGAAGATTAAAGATGTCCTTTACAGCAAACACCTCTTGTGAATGTGGCTTGCACCTTGCTAATCCAGTTTTGGTGAATTGAGTTCTCTTTTATTTCACCCTTCCCCCACTTCTGTCTTGACTTCTTTTCCCCAATCGCCTGGTTTGACAATTTTCCTTGCTTGTTATGTTACATTGTGGCTTTGCCTTTCAGTTGGTTAATGAATTTTTTCAGGAGAAACTTTGGGCCTTATCAAGCAAGTCCTCCACAAATGTAACTCCCACTGAAATTCATGCAAGCTTTACATGCAGAGGGCTTGCAGGACTGGGTCATGTATTTCTTTCCAAGCAGCTGTTCAGAGGAGAAGCACCCACAAATAGAATTTTCCCCACCTCTGCGCTCACATTTCAAGGCCCCAAACTGCAGAGGCTTTTGACGTCTCTTTAAATCCTTAATTAACTGACCAATGCCTGGAATTGGCTTTCCAACCAGCCTTCTAACCCTCTTCAAAATTCATGTGGTTTCTGCCCTCGGCTACAGAAAATGCCAGAGGTAGCAGTTTGGACAGAAGAGATGTACCTTTCTTTTCTTTCTTTACTCTACCTTTGCCTTTAATGCTGCATTTTTAAGCCCTCAACAAATGTATGATGGATAGGCCTGGCAGTTCTTTCAATATCCCTCAATTTATTGTATTTCATATATAAATTACAGTAATGTTCAGGCAGGTCCCTATCACGATTGGAGCCCTGCTGTGCTTGTTGATGTACACAGAAGCAGAAAGCACCAGTGCTGAGATAAGTCAGCCTAAAGAACTGATGAAGTGGTGCTAATGGTGTTCAAAGGGAGTCCATTCAGTTATCCTTGGATGCAAAGGCAGAGGTTGCAATGAGGTTGGGGATTCAGAGAGGAGGAAAAAATTTTAAATAATCCACAGAACCCTAGAATGAAATCATGGGAAAACTTGTCTCAGGAGAACATCTTTGAAAAAAAAAAGTTTGATTTTATGTTCTACTTAGAAAGGTGTGGTGTCAGATTAGTGAAAAAATGCTCCTGGCTACAAAATACACCCCAGCCTAAAACTCATTTGTTTAATACTGGGCCTACATAACAGTAGTAACTAATTTAACATACCAAAGAGAAATGTAACATTTAATAATAAAGTTCAGGATTTTCCAGAGTTTTATGATTAAAAATTCCTGATTAAAAAGAAAAATATAGGGTCAAAAGTAAGCCAGAACTCAAAAAATATTTAGTTTCCTCCATGTCCACTAACCTTTTAGAAAGAGTGAAAACTAATTAGATTGTACTGAAGTGAATCTGTTTTGCTCCCTACCAAAAGTGGTTACAATCAGTCGATGAACAGATTTATTTTTTCAGGAATGAACCACTAAAAACAGGGCAGTTTCCTATAAAAATGTACTTTTGTTTTAATCATCAGGCTCCACACCATATACCTTTTTGGGCATCTGCATCACTTTATCAGTTTTAGTCTTGCTGTTTCTTCTACCACATTTCAAAGATCTGACCTTTTCCCTCTGTCCAGATAGGCAAAACTCTTATCCATGCCCTTATGTCCTGTCTTGATTACTGCAACTGCTTTTTCTCTGACCTCCTCCACACTCACATCACTTTCTTCAATCCATACAAAGCACAGCTGCTAAAATCATCTTCTTAGCTAGTCAACCTGACAATATCCCGCCCTTCTGAATCCTTCCACTGGCTCTCCCTGTTCCACCACATCAAGCTTATATTTCTTGTCCTTGCTTTCAAGATTCTGCATAACTCCACCCATGCCTACACATCCAGCCTAGTCCCTTATCTCAACGACTGTGTCCACTCATACCCTCCTCCCTCCCCCCATGACATGGCCTTGATTACCCGTTTGCTTTTTGCATGGCTGTCTCTGTATGATTTTCCATGCTGCTGGCCTCTATGCATTACCTGTCCTCCCAGAACTGACCTGCCAAGCCACTCTCTCACTGAAATCTCTCAAGACCCACTTTCACACTGATACCCACAAGTGAATCATAACATTTGTATACCTATTTATTATTTACAATCAACTACCTGTTCTAGCATGATGTGTACATGCCTTAACTGCATGATCCTGTTGCCGCAACCCATGTGCTTGTTGTCACATACAATTTAGAGTGTAAATTCTTTCAGAGCAGGGACTATGTCTTTTTAATCTGTACTGGATGGAGCCTAGCATACTTTGGCACTGTAAAATTATAATTAATTATACCTGCCTAGTATTTTGGCTCCTACTGCCTCCCATTTTACCGTGCTTCTTGCTTTATCCTCCCCTCACCCCATGCCAGGGCTGTTCATAGTAGTGACACTTAGGTCCCTCGCAGCTCTGGGTTCATTACAGCTTAGAGTATGTACCACAGGATGGAGGTGAGCAGTGCACAAGGGTTCATTATCATCTGTCCCAGATTTTGCAGGCTAGCCCTGTTTTTTTAAATAGGACTGTCCCATAGTCAAGTTTGAGAACTTGGGAAATTTCATCACATTGTGACAGGATGATGTTTTGACACAACACCATGCTGTTGGAGCAGTCACCAATGAAGAAGCACTGCGTTGCAGTGGGTACCCATAATACACAGGGGTACAGCCAGGTCTGTCTTCTGGACACTCTCAACCCGACCCTCATATATTACATTATAAAAAAACACACCCAAAGAGGATCAGGATGCTGAGAGGACGGTAATCTCTCACTGTCCCAACTCTCGTCCCCCGTTATCCTTCCTCCTCCTTTGTGCCTTGGCGTCCTTTGCTGCGCTGAGTCGGATTCACACTGCCACTGGCCTGCCTTGGGGGCCGCGGCTGTGTGTACAGTGCCACGTACACTGCGGGGCGGCAGGCACAAAAGTCACAACTAGGCTGCCCCGCCAGCCCCCCGCATCCTAACCTGCTTTGTCCCTACGGACAGGAAAAGCCAACGGGCCCCGGGGTCCCTGCGGGGTAACCGAGTGGCAGCTGCGGGCCTTGATTTCCTTCTGCTGACTTGCTGGGGGCGGGGGCAAAGGAGGGCCCCAATTTCCGCCCTCTCGGGGCTGCAGAGGGTCTCTGGGCAGGCGGGGAGAGCGGTTCCGGGGGGGCGGCCTCCCGCTGAAAGCGGCGCCCGGCCGGCCGGGAGAAGCCCCCGGGTGGAAGCGCGGCGGCGGAAGAACCTGTGCCGGACCAAGCAGGCGCCCAGGGCGGCGGCCAGCGCAGAGGCTGCCCGCCGCATGACAGCGCGGCCGGGTGGGCGGTGCCCGGCCCTCGCAGCCGCAGCGGGTTGGTCGGGCGTGGGGAGGCGGGGCGCACGCCGGGCCGGGAGGGGGCAGCGAGCGAAGGGGCGCTGGGGCGGCGAGTGGAGCTGCAGGAGCCGAGCGGGACGCGACGGCGGTGCAGGGTGCAGGGGCTAGAGCGGGCTCCCGGCCGCAGGGAGCGAGGGACGGCGCGGAGCCGCTGCGAACGGTAAGGGCTGTACGCGCCCGGCCCCGCCTGCCAGCCGCAGCCCCGGGGAAGAGCGAGCTGGGCGCTGGGCTCCTTCCTGCACGGCCGGGGCCTCTCGGAGCGGGGCAGGAGCTGAGCCCCGCGACCCCGGGGTGGTGTCAGACAGGGCAGGAAGCGCTGCCCCGTGCAGCGCGGTGGGACTGTGCTGCAGGCGGCCTGTGTCCCCGCAGCGAGGGGCGTTGGGCTGTTAAAACCTGGCTTAGCCCTTAGCCCTGCCCGTGGCCGAGATGGCGAGAGAGCGCTCCGGGTTTGCCCTGTGCAGTCAGCCTGGCTCTTTGTGTGCAGCGGCTTGTGCAGTTGCTGGGGGAGCCTGCTCCCCTGTTAGACCGTGCCGCGACCTGCCCCGGAGCTTGGGGACGGGAGAGGGGATCGCAGGACGCTCCCAACTTTTAAACTTCCAAGTTAATAAACTTGGAACCAAAGCAGGCATGATGTCCCCAAACTGTACTAGTGATTCTTTTTCAATAAAGGAATTGGCTGATTTAGCAAACCAAAGAGTGGACGACACTTCCTACTTCAATGATACAGTGTGTGGTGTATGAGCATAGCAAGATGTTAAATTTTTATATTGCTGAAAAGCTTTTATGGCATTGCAACTTTAGATTTAAATGTCAGTATTCAATCTCTTATTCGTGGCCAATATGAGCAATCCCTACAACTTCACATGAAATACTGCCCCGTTTCTTTCTTCTTATTAGAGCTCTGGGGTATATGTACATAATGCATTTATTCCTGTTTTTTTTAAACGAACTGTGCTTAGAAACTTTTTAAAAAGAAATTAATATTTACTTGCATTTATGTTGAGAGATTTATGGTAAGAACTATGCTTTGCCTTTCTTTCCCTGTGATCTCTCAAAACTTTCCCCTTATATTTAAAAAACAAAACACAAAACCCTTTCAGAGTTACTTAGTAATATAACTAATGTCCTCAATTTAGCAGGTTTATATACAGATTTCTACAACAAACTTCTTTCACTGGAGACATTTAGCAGCTTGGTATGGGAATATTTTATACTACTTTGAGAAACTGCATTGCTTTCTGAATCTTAATGAATCTTATTTGAAGAAAGAATAGCTTTTGTTAAGTGTATTGCGACTTTCCTGTCTGGTTTGTAGAAACAATCTTATGGTTCAAGGATTCTGGTCCATAAGTGGGAGGAAAAAGTACACTTGGTTGCCAAATCCCTGCCTCCAAGCAATGGCTGTACTTGCAGTATGTTGTGCTGACAGTTATTAGTTTGCCTCCCAATCCTACACCTGTAGGGACAGAATTCTGTCCCTCTCTGGCTGATGGAAAGCTGATTTCCTTGCAGAAGTGATTTCAGTCTATGGGTGACCTCTTAACTGCCTGCCAGAGGAGGATTCTAGAGGGGATTACTTATCCTTCCTCTTAATAGGATGGAAAGACACTTAGGTCTGGCTGCATTATAAGTTGGTAAAAATAAAAAATAAAAAATTAATTCATTAAAAAATCCAAGACGCTGTCATTTATCTCCAGCATGGCCTTGCAGTCAGTGTATATATAATATTTGATGGAATGTCTGCTTAAATTTCAGAATGGCATTCCTTGCTGGAATCTGGGATTGATCAACGTAGTTTGTCTGTGTAGAAATATTTGAATTAATTCAGTGCAGGAAACCACAGATGCTTAAACTGCTTCATCCAAGGATAAGGCATTATAAATGGTGTGATAAATCATACATAATACATTTTATGATACTTCATTGGTTTATTATATTAACTTTATTTTCTTTAGCAAAATAACATCCAAACAAGCTACTTATCTTGCTTATTTTTATTTAGAGAATGGTAGCATCACACTCTCATGGTAGAGATAACTGAAATTTGAATTGTACCTTGTAGACACCTAGTGGGGAGAAGTTAGTCAAGCAAATATCCATTGTTAAACTTCTATTTCAGTTCTTTCAGTGCATTGCACTGCATCTCTACATTTGTTGATCTGGTCTGTTGACAAAGCTCATGTGATAATTAAAGAAGGAAAGTTTTTATGCTAGGCAGATTTTTTTCTAGGAATTTTCTTTTTCCCCACAGTGGATTAGGGAATCTTTGGAAAGAAATGTCAGATGAATGTATGTATGATAGGAACAATTGTATCGTGTGTGTAGTCTATCGGGTCAGGGAGGGGATGGATTTTTGTTATCCTGATGATATAGAAGTATTTTGTGGATACATGTGAACATGAGCAAATTGAAGCAAGTCTCCCTCCAGCGTGGCAAAGATTGAAAGCAGCATTTATTCATGGGGGTGGAAGGCAGATACATTTTCCTTTTTAGTTAGTCAACAGAGGAATGCTGCTGTGGGAGGAAATGCTTTGGTACCACAGGTGTGGGTGCCAGAACATTATTTTTTGGATATGGGGAAAAATAGTTAAAAATCTGAGTGGAGGATGATATGTAGGAACCTCTAGCAATCTAGAGTTGAATTTTAAGTAAGTGTTGTTAGCACAACACAAGGCATATCATAGAGCGAGTGGAATTCTGCCCAGAATTAGGGATTGATAAGGGTTACAAGTACTCCTATCTCCTCAGGATCAAGCCCTTAGGCTGCAAATAGAACAAATTAGCATTTGGTATGTTTACAATCCTTCTACCCCATCGCACCCTACTCCACTCCGTCTGCCACCTGACTATTCATTCATATTTCCTCCCTAAATACAACGTTTCTTGCCAATGGTATGTCTTTTTTTCTCCTTTAAAACTCCCCTTACTGAATAATAATTAAGGCAGTCTCTTAGCTATTTATTTTTAACTCAAATGTCTGAAGATAGAGACAATATAACTCCATTTGGAATAAAGATAGTCTATTTATGTAACATCTTAACAGGACAAAATAAAGAACTAGTGACACCGTTGATTTTTCTAAAGAAAGTGTTGCTGTACAGCATCGAAGATTCATTTATTGCTGTTTTTTTTAAACTCTTTAACCACATTTGCACATCAGTGTATAAAGACTGACTGGGCTTTATGTGAGGAACTTTGGTAGTGGGACAAAATGGCTGCTGTCCCCCCATCCAAAATTGACTGATGTTGTGGTCTAACCTTGCGGAAACCGTTATTCCTGGCAGACGCCACTTCTACTCCAGCATGCTATCTGCAACTTCTGTGTCATTGTTTGGGCTACTACTTATGTGCAAGTGTGGCTTCAATAACTCCTTCCCAGTCCAACTGCAACGGTGTGCTAGTCTCCAGGTGCCATTATAGCAGCCAGAAATTACCAGGAGCAAGGATTTTATGTTCCCCCTCCCTTGGTAGGTGGGATGGAGGGTGATGCAGCAGCCACTATGGCAGTTCTGTGTCTCTTGAGAATTCTACTATACAGGATGAATCCCAGTTAAATAGGGTTTAGGGCAACTTCATGCTACCTGAGCAGGGCAAAATTTTTCTAACATAACAGTGAATTGGGCCCTTTGTTCTGTTATAGGACTATTCGTCTTGATTTTTTTTCTACTACATTAAACTGGTTTATAACCATTTCTTACACTTGCACAGCACTTCAATATACAGTAAAACTATTGCCTACTCATATTACATAATTCTTAAGACTTTTTTTCTGCTGCATTCTAAAAGTTTTTCATTGCAACACTGAATAGTTTGCACTCTTTGTTATCTTAACACAGCCGTTCAAATTACGATTGGATGTAAGTAGATGCAAAGGAATAACAGTTGAAATAATAAAGTTTAAAAGGATTCTGTTCTGTCTTCTTACTGTATATTAAAAGGTTATTTTTCAACAGTGTTTTTTACTCATTGCTTTCTAGTTAGACTTGATTGAACTTTCAGACCTGGAGTTTCTTGTATTAAGTAATTTAAGCACCCAACCTCTCAACGCTGCTCAACTGCTCCTTCTTAGGTGGTCTGTGTGTGTCATTTTCAGTTGCTGAGTAACATACTTTACCACTGGAAAAACAAATTAAAAATTGAGGAGGAAGACCCTCACCTAACCAAAAACACAAAGTAGCATAATTTAAGAAAAATTGAGAGAGGGAAGGATTACTTCTGACTTCTATTACACAGAGCATGAAAATTAAAGGAAATGGTGCTAAAAGGGCCCAAACAATTTGTTGGAGGGAGGGAATCTTAGTCAAAGTAGCATCGTTCGTCACCTCCCCCTTCCTCCCCTGGCTGTTTCTCAAACAGCAAGTAAGCTCCTCTATGCAAGCATGCATGGAGGTCCCTGCGGTTACAGGAAAACAATTCTGCACATCCTCATTTTCTATTAAAACCTCGGGGGAATACCCTGGACATGAATTCTGACCATGTCATCACTAATTCTAGTGGGTTACCATTCTGTCCTGGCATATCTCCTGTGAAAGGTTGGGGCCATGTGCTAGCAGAAAGGCATTAGATGGAGTCCTGCTGCCAGGTTAGACAGTGTGCTGAGGGAAGAAGTGTGGAGCAGCTAGTCCTCTACATGTGCCCCAATATCCATAGTGTATGCCGTGTGTCTTGAGACATGGAGGTTCAGAGGGACATACCTCCTATTTGACTGAAGGATTTAAATTGGTCTCTTCTGACCAGGTAAGACTTTGGAAAATTAGCATGTGTAAATGGCCATAGTTTTGGTGTGACTTTGACCCTCTTTTTGGCCTTTCCATGGGAATGTATGACCTATCCCATGTTTTGAGAAGTATGTCTTGCATATAACTTAAATGTAACATAGTTGAATTCTCGCAAAGTTAATGAAGTCTGAAACAATGTCATTAATCTTGTTTTTTTTCTT